GCGGGGCGGGGCCGGGCCGGGGCGCCCGGGGCTGTCAGGCGGCGGAGAGCAGCGGCGGGGCTGTCACGTCTTCAGCCGTCGGGGGCACCGGCATCCTCACAGCGTGGGGGATCGTCCTCCCGCCCGCCCCCGGGACTGCCCGCGGGAGCCTGGGCGGGGGAGGGGGTGGGCTATCCCCGGGCTGAGAAGCTGCCTGGAGCCGAAATTTGGCGGGGGGAGCGGGAAATCTGCCAGGGCGAGGGGTCCTCCCGGGGTTGTGCTGCGCCCTGGCAAGGGTTGCGGGGCTAATGCTCGTTTCTGGGATAAAAGGAGTCTGGAAAATCTCTTCATGCGCCTCGCGTCCGTTGTGCTTTGCCAGCCCCTCGGTCCTGGGGTGCCGAGTGAGCCCATTCTCGGCTGAATGACTGGAGGCTGGATTAGCCCCTTCGAGTGTCCGGATTCTCCTTCTTCCCTCTGGTGGCAGCTCACGAGAGCTGAACACGCTGAAACAGAAATCTGGATTAGAAAAGTGAACATGTTGGCACTGGGAGCCTTTCCAAACAGGAAGCTGCCCAAGACCAGTTTTGGTCGTGAAAGATCAGATGCCTAAATAGTTACTGTACGGGATGCTGTATGAGGCTGAAAACTTGTGTAATTTCAGAGTTTGGGCTGAGGTGGGAGAGTTAGGTGATTGATCTGTGCTTCTCAGTCAGCCAGTGTTAACTGCTTTTGTGTAACATACCAAAAGCATGAGAGCACGTTAATTTGCATTTTAACTTGTCAACTTTTAAGAATCATTCAAAAATTCTTATCATGTGTCGTCGTGTCCCCCCCCCCAAAAAAAAATATCTTTTGAGTATTTTTGAGATAAAATCTGGGAGCACATGTTCTGGAGGTAGCTTATTAAGTGGAAAATGCTTACTGTTAAAGAGTTCTTCCAAGCAGATTTTCCATGGTAGCTTAAAGATCTGCTGTTCTCAATCACGTTTTTGGGGGAGAGAAAAAAACCCCACCGTTTTGTTTTCATGAGTAATCTAAAGAAAGCACTTATACAGTACAGTTAGACGCTATCAGAACAGAGGTTATGATGGTCGCCTTTTGAGTGAGTCTTAACATCACGTTTTTATTTTTCTACTCAGACTTTCTGCTAAAGGTGTTTCGCTTTGCAACAAGGATGGTGACTCCATTGTTCCGGTTCCCAAATGAGTGTTTGGCCCGAACTGCCTTCTTTCTTTCTCGGTGGGCTAGGGTGTAGGGTTGTGACCTGGGCTGCCTGACTTTGGGCTGCCATCCTTTGCTCTTGCTATGAGTGTGATGACAGACAGCGAGGGCACCTTAACCCCCTGCAGCAACATGCACTGGAAGCTTCTAATTTCACACTTTCTTTCTTCATGCTCCTGAAAATCCCTTAGGAAAAAGGAGATAATTTCTCTTGTAGTTCTGTAGTTCCAGAACAGTTTAAACTCCAGTATGCTGCTGCTGCATCAGGCAGTCTCAGTTGCTTTTTCCTGCCTCTCTGCCTCTCCCCTCCCGTGTACCAGTGCAGTGCTCTGTAGATAGTAAGACTGGTCCCAGAACAGTGTAATTAGTTTTTCAATAGGGCTGTTAAGGCCAGGCACACTGCCATGATGCTGTAGCTCTAATAATTCTGTTTCTAGGGCTAGCTCCCTCTAAGTTATCGTAGTTCTCTTTTGTGCGGAATTATACTTAGGTTCCTCATTAGCCTCTTTTTTTAGCAAGTCTATTAAATTGCTGGGTGACCCTTGGTAACTGACTTAGTTACAGGAACCTCGTGCTAATTCGTATATTGAGTAACACTGATAGAGGTTTGACAGAGCTGTTTCCTTTTCTTTTTATTAAAAAAAAAGTTTTAATTCAATTAAAATTTAGTGTTAAACAAACAATGCATTTGCAGTTATCTGCTGGTAAGAGGTAATTATTTAGAAAGCAGAGGTGTTTAAAAATATACTTTCCTTCTTTTTTTTTTTTTTTTTTTTTTCTTCTACTATAGTTACAAATCAGTGGTTCCTTCCTGCAGTAAGGGGAGATATTCCTCCAGGCTGTGCAGCACATGGATTTGTTTGTGATGGTACCAGAATACTAGTTTTTGGAGGAATGGTTGAATATGGAAGATACAGTAATGATTTGTATGAATTGCAGGTAGGAAATCTATGATGTTTCAGATTTGAGGACTACTTTATCTGTTTATGAACAAACACATTTTATATTACCAACTGTGGAGGAAAGTTAGATGAGCTTTGCTCTGATACAGGAAGAATAAACTCTTTAAATAGATTCTAAAGATAGAGAAAATCTAAATAACTTTGAAAAAGAGACTTCCATCTAGTCTAAATAAAGTATAAAATATTTAATGTTTTATGAACATTAGCTCTTACATGTATGTTTTATGAACATTACTCTTATGTTAATGTATATCTTAAGAAAAGCCCAGCATTCCCTTAACACTCACATATTTTCTGAAATATTTTTAATATTATCTGAATTCTCTTGACTATGAATGACTAGATGAAGATATTTCTGAATATATTCTTATTGTCTTTAAGGCAAGTCGATGGCTCTGGAAAAAAGTAAAACCTCAAGCTCCTTCCACTGGATCACCACCTTGTCCTCGACTTGGCCACAGCTTTTCTTTGTATGGTAACAAGTGCTATTTATTTGGTGGCCTGGCAAATGAAAGTGAGGATTCAAATAATAACATTCCCAGGTATGCTGATTTTGTTTGAATTCAATGTCTTTAAAAATAAATTACTAGATATGACAGCTTTGAAGAGGAACATTATAGGGAGACTGTCCTGCATACCATTTGGATTATTTGTGCAGTGGAGAGGTTACATGCTAAGAAGCTTAACTGTTTCTTCTGCTAATCCCACAATGTGTAACACTGGTTGACAGGTCTGACACTTTTGGAGGGAAACCTGAATAGACTGGTATTTTGCCCAGTATTTTGGGTGATGTTTTAAAGAATGCCTTGTTTGTTAGACTTACTTAAATCAGTGAAATCTCATGAGTCATCAGGGAATTCACAATGGAAGTTTCCTCTATAATGCTGTGGAAAACAGTTACGAATTCATCTGGAAATTTTTTAAAGCAACAGCTGAAGTTGCCTTTATTATCAGCAAACAGTGCTGTAATGCTGAAGTTTTATATCCACATTCATCAGCAGTTCAGAGTGCTTATATCCACTGAGCCATAAACTGGCAATTTTAAGCTCAGTAAACAAATTGGTGTGAATGCCAAGATTCAAAGACCATTATCTAAAAATAACTTGCAGATAGATTCAGCAACAAATGTCTAATTGTCTGTTGGCCAGCCTGAAGACATCAGAAAAGAAACAGTGTCTTTTCACCTTTGTTGCCTTAGACTTGCAGAAATTCATCTCTTATGTCCCATGTCTTCATGTATTTCTCACAGCTTTGCGGTTTATTCCAAGTTTGTCCATATGTAGTTATTTCTGCTGAGAATTTTTTTTACCAATGT